TTTTTGAGATAGCATCTCATTTTGTCGCCCTTGGTAGAGTGCAGTGACATCATAGCTCACAGCAACCTCCAACTCCTGGGCTTAGGCGATTCTCTTACCTCAGCCTCCCAAGTAGCTGGGACTACAGGTGTCCACACAATGTCCAGCTATTTTTTTGTTACAGTTTGGCTGGGGCCATGCCCTACCCATTGACCCACAAGCACTGCCTTTTTTTTTTTTTTTTTTTGATACAGAGTTTCACTTGTCGCTCTGGGTAGAGCTCACAGCAACCTCAAACTCTTGGGCTCAAGTGAGTCTCTTGCTTCAGCCTCCCAAGTAGCTGGGACTACAGGTGCCCACCATAATGCCTGCTATTTTTAGAGGTGGGGTCTCTCTTTTGCTCAAGCTGGTCTGGAACCTGTGAGCTCAGGCAATCCACTTGCCTCAGCCTCCCAGAGTGGTAGGATTACCAGCATGAGCCACAGCACCCAGCTTAGAGCCTCTTCTAATTTCTATCAGGGGCAGAGTGGTCAATGCCACAGATGAACAAGACTGGGGCTCTCAGGGGGCTGAGAGGAAACTGGAGAGATTCAGGGGTAGCTGGGGCTGTAGGAAAGAGGACAAGATCAGGAATGGTTAAGGAAGGAGGGCATGACGTGAAGCCCCCTGGGTAGAAAGGGATGGAATAGACTTGCTGGGGGGAGGGGTCAGTGGGGTAATAGTAAGGGGTATAACTGAAAGAAGTACAGGACAGGGGATGAGAGAAGCATGGGACTGGCGGGTGTGTGTGTCTCCAAAGGCAATTGGCCCCCCAGGTGAACTTGGCTTCTGCCACTCCCTTCAGCAGGTTTAACTATGCACAAGCTGTGCTTTTTCAACCTACGTGGCCCATTCTGTGAAATGCATAGGCATATTCCTCTTACAGGGCTGTGAAGAGGGCACTAGAAGGCTGTAGATTAATAGCTTGTGGCAGGCCTAGGTTGCAATGGATCCCAGGAGTAACAAGCCAGTTTCCAAGGGATGGGGGCCCAGGAGCGGGGTGTGAGGGCTCTTAGGGACCATAGAAAAGTTCCACAAGTGCCTGTGAGTGCAAATGCCAAATTTGGAGCGCTCCCTAGGGGGCAAGGATGACAGGATCTAAGTGTCACCGTTCACTGAGTCAGGACAGTTGAGTCTTTATTATTTTTTTTTTTTTTTGCAGTTTTTGGCCAGGGCTGGGTTTGAACCTGCCACTTCTGGCATATGGGGTCGCCACCCTACTCCTTTGAGCCACAGGCACCACCCCAAGTCTTTATTTTTTAAAACTTGCTTGAGTGTGTTCTAGTTCTGCACCTTACCCAGGGAATGCTGTTGTGAATAAATGGTTATTACTGTGTTTCCCTGAAAATAAGATACTGTCTTATATTTATTTTTTCTCAAGAAGACACAGTAAGGCTTATTTTCAGGGGATGCCTCTTATTTTTAAGTACAGCTCTGAAATGCATGGCCACGCCCATCACTAGGTCTTATTATCTGGGTGAGGCACAGAAATCCTGCAAGGGGTTATTTTTTGGGTAGGTTTTATTTTCGGGGGAACACGGTAACAAAGCTTTAAGGGCTCCCTGCCTCCCCCTCCTTTGCTCTTAGGTCTGCACAGCACTTTGCTGCCTCTGGGCCTTTGCACTGTGGTTTCCTCTTCCTTTCCACCCTCCAGCAGTCAGATGTGGGGGAGGGGTATCCCCCACGCACCCTTTCTGGACTGGGTGCTGCTGTGCTCCTCTCATACAACTTGTGAGCCTTATTACACTTGACTTCAGAAGACGTACTCCTGAACATCTCACGTGCTGCAAACTTGTCATAACTCAGGGATCCTGACAAAGGGCTCTGGGGGAATTTCTATTTAGCCCATTAAAGTGGAGCCCTCACACTGCCACAGCTCAGACTTTGACTTCTGGCCAATTTTAATGCACTGTCCTTGCATTCAATTCAGATTTTGCTCTTAGTGAAGCCACAGTCAGTATGCTTAGCCCACTTTTTCAAACTCCGGCCTGCCCACAATGGGAACAGCTTGGTGACACGACTTCCTCAGGAATGAAGACTCCACATCCACATGCACCTGAGCCTGTTTATTTGGTCTCCCCTGCGCACACTCAGGCCTGCATCACTGGCCGTGACTTCTCAGCCTGCAGCTTCACTCCAGAGCCTGCAAAGCCCGTGCCACCCTAGGAAAAGTGGGAAGAAAGATGAGATGGAGGTGGGCTGGGGCTCCAGGTGGCAGTGAGGGATCAAGGTGAAGCTGCATACTGACTCAGAAAAATCAGGAGTAGGGGAGAGAGCGCAAAAAAGGAAGGAACCCCAGAAGAGCAGGGCCCAGAAAGGGTGCAGGCCTGGGGAGAGGTGAGGGGAGGGGTGAGGAGTGGGCATGGGGGGAGGGAAGGGACTAAGCAGGCAGCTCACCCGCTGTAGCACGATGATGTCACGATCTGTGAGCTTGTCACCAGTCACTGGGTCCACCATGTCCTTCCGAATCAGCTTCTCCACGCACTCAAGGGTGACCACAGCCCCACTGTAGAACGTGAAGGTGGGAATTCTGATCAGAGACTGTTTGGGGGGTGGGGCATCCCCCATGCCCAGCCCTGCCACGCCTGTCTTGGGTTCTCCCCTATTTCCCTTCCACAGGGGACTCACGAGGGCCGCAGCACAGCACATGGAGTGGCATTGCTCAGGCTATCGCGGGTCACAGCACACACGTAGCGTTCACTGCGCGTGATGAGCCCCACACGGTCCACGGAGCTGTCCAGAGGTGTGAAGCGCACCGGCGTCAGGTCCGACATGCGCAGTGGTTTCCCAGACATGGGGCAGGTGACTATGCGTGACTGCCAAGACAGGGAGGGTCAGCAGGTTAGTGCTAAGTGGAGGGAGAAGGGAGCCTCAGGGTACTAAGCACCCTGGCCCTCCCTGGTAAAGTGGATACAGTGCTGCTGAGGGGGCTTACTGGCTTCTCCAGTTTGGTGGCCTTGGCCTCGGGAGTCAAGGAGGGGATCCAGAAGCTGGGCAGCACTTTGTCCTTGTCCTTTCCTGGGGGTCCCGCACTGGGTCCAGGCTGGGCATCATCTGTGGGGAAGGGAGAAATGGGTTAGATGCCGAACCCTGGACAGCACATAGGGCCCCACCCACAATAAGTCTATTCCTACTCACCTGGGCCAGTCCCGGTGGGAGCCTTGGCAGTAAAGGGGTTGAGGGGACGGCTCACAATGGTTGCCTCCTTCTCTAGGAAGCCACGCACGTGGTCTTGGGCCGCTGCCTTTTGCAGCTCCTTCTGCTCATCCCGCTGGGCACCTCGCTGCTTCTCATAGGCCTGAAGTAGCAAGCAGGGGCTAAGCCTGAGGCTGGAAGTCTGTACCACCTGGGGGCTTTCACAGGTGGGCAAACAGAGGCCCACACAGGACACCTGCTGACATCACTGGCAGAGATTGGGGACTACCTGGGTGAAAACCTTTAGTTGTTTTTACAGCATTCTGTGGCTTGTCCCTTCACTACTACAGAACACATAGGTAATTTCCTGTGTAGCCATTTTAGGACTGGGTGTTCCTTGGCAGTAGAATGGTCAACAGTTTAGTTGAAGCCAAAGGGCCAGGGCCCAAACCCCATTTCTGTCACCTCTGTGACTTGTAGTAAGCACTGTGACCTATCCCAGCCTGTTTCCTCATCTGTAAAATAGACTAACAATGATGACCCTGCCTTGGTGGGGCACTCCTGCAAGGATTACCCAATATATAACTGTGAGCCTAGTACCTAGTTAAGTGTTCACTGAGTGATACCTGCTGGCCACATGATGTTTATTATATAATGCATGCCAGACTATGTCCTGGCACAGTGGACATGGGCTTCAGATCCAGGAGAATAATGAGGATCAAATGTTTATGGAGTGGTACAATGTGCCAGGCAGGGTGTGAGGGTGGCAGGAGTGAAGGTGTGTCCCATGCTTGGTCCTGCCTGGCACACGAAGGTGCCTGGGTAGTGCTACAGCTGAGACTGCCTCAGGCTACCGAGCTGTACACCCAGCTCTAACAATGATGGAGACTAATGGTCAGAAGGATCTCCAACATGACCATGATGATGAGCCACCAGGCTGTGTAGAGGACATGGGCACAGGGAAGCCACTCACTTGAGACAAAAAGCTTAGCTCCAGCAAGCCAGGTAGGAGAAGGGGACAGACCCACTGTGCCTCAAACATGGGAATAAACAGGGTCCTTCCTACCTTCCAAATGAGTTTACTCATGGAAGGCTAGGCCTGGTTCTAAGTAAACTTTTTTTGGGGAGACAGAGT